TGGCGGTGACGGGTATTCCTCGGCAATCAAAGAGGCCAAGGGCATTAGAGAATGAGGTGGTGGACATGAATTCCAAGGAGGCGCCGCTACACTGCGGTCGTCCGCAGTCTACTCCACGGGGGAGTCATATGAGAAGCAAGTCGCGGACGAAGGGGAAGAAGAGGTCGGCATCTACATGCCAACCTGGAGTGCAGCCCTAAAATAGATTTACAGAATAAAATAAATATTTCAATCATTATTAATAAGTACATTTCATTTAATGAGTAAATTGTTACAAGTAATGCCGACTTTCTTTCTTTCTTTAAATATAATTTGTATTTAAGGCTAAATTTGAAAAGAATATAAATACTGTAAATACATACAAAATAATACAAAGTATTAAATTTTGCAATTTGTACTCTTCCCAAATTGAACCTACAATTTTATTGGACAAGTAATACCTACCAAAAATAGGGCAGTTAATTTTCAATTTCGAAGTTCACCAAAAAAAAAATACTCATCAAAAAGTACGTCAATTTAAAATAGCATGAGACTCGTATTAATGATGATTGATGACCAACTTTCTAATGTTCTTAAATGCCCATGCAAAAACTTTCTAATGTTCTTAAATGCCCATGCAAAAAAAAAAAAGGGTTTGACTATGATGCCGGAAAGGCATTATACTGGAAAATTTATGATCAATTAAATAGTATCATAAAAGTAACAAAAAAATATTTTCATTAAAATTTATGAAAGGTTCTGATTGGTCAAAGCCTTTTTCTAGTATCATGCTTTTCTTAATCTCCCATACGAGTCATTTGAGTTGTACAACACCACACTTAAGCCCTATTTGATTTCACTTGTAATAAGCAAGAACTTCTAATAAGTGTCGGAACTACACTACACAATAGGTGGAAAAAAGTGTTTGTGCATGTTTGATAAAAATGTGACAAAAAAAGAACTTATTTAAAAGAAAAGTGCTTCTTAAAAAAAGCTACTTCAAAGTGGCTTTTTTAAGCACTTCTTAAATAAATGAATATTAAAGTTTTTTGGGACAGTTCAGTTCCTTATTATATTTTAAATACCCAAACTGCCCTCATATGACTTTAAACCTACCTTCTTCTTCTCATCTAGACTGTGCATACCAGAATACTAGCGGCACCAAGGTTTGCTTTCTCAACAACCGGCGACCACCGAAATCATTTAAAACTCATTGGTGATCAGGTCAGTGTGTTATTTTGAATCGTTTTTTCATGTTTTTTGGTGTGTTTTCACGTTGCTCACCAGATCTAGTTTTTGGGTGTGTTTTCACGTTGTTCTCATCGTAGATTTATCGAAGAAGTCAGGTCAGCCATCTACCTTTCAGCCTTTTTGTGCTATTATCCTCTGTTTTGCAATATTTTGCTCAAAATTTGTTTTCTAAGCAAAACATTTGAAATGTGTGCAAAATATATTCTTTTCCTTTATTTATTATTATTATTGATATTATTATTATTATATATTATTATTGTTATTATTATCATTATTATCATTACTATTGTTATTATTATCATTATTATCATTACTATTGTTATTATTCATTATTTTTTCTATTTGGGTCCACTTGGTACTCAACATGTGGGCCCATGTGGGCTCTCATGTGTCACAACATGGTGTTTTGGCGAATTTCCCTTAAAATGTATAATATAATATGCGAAAAGCATTATTTATATGAGTGGGTGAAATGAGGGGTAAAATTGTCATTTATGCTAAAATAAACACTTGTAGAGAAAGTAGCTTATTAAATATCCCTACCCCAATAAGTTCTTAAAAAACCCAATAAGTGATTTGACAAATGGGTCACCAAACCACATTAAGTGGTTAAAATAAGTACTTGCAATAAGCACTTGTGCAACAAGTACTTAGGCTATGTTTGGTGATTAAATGGTTATTAAAAGAAATACTTGTTCCACAAGCAATTTTTAGAAATGCATTTTTTTAACAACCAATTAAGGTTGTTTAGTGACCCACTTACTAAACCACTTATTTTTTAAGCATTTATTGGGGTGAAGATGTTTAGTGAGCTACTTTCCCCACAAGTGCTTATATTGACACAAATGACAATTTTATAATTTTATCCCTCACTTCATTCATACGTATAAACAATGTTTTTCACATATTATACTATAGATTTCAATGAAAAATCACCACATCATGACACCTGAAAGCCCACATGGGTCCACACGTGAAGCACCATGTGGGCCCACATGGGCCCACACCTAAAAGCAAGTGACAAAGATTCATTAGGTCTAGTCCAAATCTAGATCTATGTTCATTGTTTGAAGAGATTGCACTAGATCTGAGTTCCTAAACGTAGATCCGCTGAAGAGATCGCACTAGATCTGGCTCAAACCTCATTGTATTCCTTTATGAAGGCATATCTGAGTTCACATAGATCTAGGGCAGAGGTTGCCCTAGGTCTGATTCAAATCTTTATCATCTTCCTCTATGAATCTGGGTTCGCAAAATAGATCCACGGCAGAGGTTGCGCTAGATCTGGTTCAAGCTTCATTGTCTTCTTCTGTAAAGACATATCTGAATTTGCCAAACAGATCCACTGTAGAGATTGCAGTAGATCTAGTTAAACCCATATTTGTATTAAAAATTACTAACATTTTTACATTTTATTTTCTTGTATTAAAAAATACAAAAGTATCTATCAATTTTTGTAATTTTCCCACATTTTTTTATGTTTGGTTTTCTTGTACTTTTGTTATTTATTTGCATTTATTGATTTACTATAATTTTTGTTTTTTTTGTTATTTTTATATTTTTCCATTTTTAGTGTTTTTTGTAATTTTTTATATTTTTCTTTACATTTTATCATTATTCTAAATGTTTCATAATTTATATTTTTTTCATTTTATACAATTTTCTATATTATTTTATGATTTATTTTCAATTTTTGTGTTTTTTCTAAAATGTTTTATAATTTCTTTAGTTTTTTTGCAACTTCTATTTTTCTTATTTTATACTTTTCTAAATTTTTTCATTTTTGTATTTTTTTGCATTTTCTATGTTTTTTACAATTTTCTATGTTTATGTGAAATGATACTTAAATTTAATTTTTTTCTATAATTTTGATGTTTTATATGACATATATTTAACATTTTCATTGTTTTTGTGCAATTTTGTTTTTATTTAAATTTTTTTCAACTTTTTATCATTTTTATGTTTTCTTAATTGATATTTCTATGTTTTAATGCACTTGAAATAATGGAAAATTAGAAAATATGTCACATTTTGGGTGGATGGGTCATATAGGTGGGTCAACAAGGGTCATATGGGGTGAGTCAGGGTCAGGGTGGATTGTGACCCACTAACATCAATAAATATGGGTGATAAACGGTTGGAGGGTCAATATGCTCAACTACCCAATCAACCCCATCCACCCATTTGCCACCCCTACCTTGTCAGTTATTCAACAATCAGGAGATTTTTCCAGTGTTGAAGTTGTAGAGGTAAAATCTCCTCTACTGTGGTGAAGTTTCTCTCTTATTTCTCATCATCCTTTCCTTTTCTTCCTCTTTTGATACTCAATTGGAAGAATTTCTACTGAACTTGAAGCAATCTTTTATTTAGTCGTAAAGGGATTTTTGTTGTCCAAGCTCTTTGTTTAGGTAGACTTTAGTTTTAATCATATCACTTAATTTTCTTTCCGTTTTTACAAATGATCTTCTCCTGTCTCCGGTCTCCCTTGCATATTCTAGAAAGCAACAATGTCGAGCCCCAGCATGTTCAAATCCGCCACACTACTGGAGTAGATGAAGCTCCATCTCGCCATCGACGACGGTAACGAGCTTACTAAGAAGGTCGGCCTTGTAAACAACCTCCTCTCTCTAATGGATCAGATACAACCTCCTCTTTGCAGTACCTAATCCATCAACAGCACATCTCTCGTCAAGAGAAGGGGAAGACTCCTCGGTAGCAAAAGACCGTGGCCGACGATCCGCTGAGGCCATCTCTCTCTCATAGAAAGGATAATTTTGACATTGAATAATATTACAGTTTTAGTACAGTGACATATTTTGAAGTTCCGTACTAATTTAACATTACTCAAAATTCAGGGTATTAAATTGAAATTTTCCCTATTAATAAATAAAAAAAAAGGTAATATAGTAATTTAAAAGAAGGGTAAAATACAAAAGCCTCTGACAATTATAAAACCCTCCCCTATAGTTTCATTTTAATAAATACTTTCCCTGAACTTTTGAGAAACTCAACAAAAAACCTCTCTTCCGTATTGATGCATCAGTTTTTTTAAATACCCATTCTACCATTTTATAAATTATTTTACATACAAAATTACTGAAATAACCCTATTTTAATTCAATAAAAACCTCTTTTAACAATCATTTCAGTAATTTTACATACAAAATTACTGAAATATATTTTTTGTTGAGTTAAAATGGGATTATTTCAGTAATTTTTTATGTAAAATAATTTATAAAAATGTAGAATAGATATTTGAAAAGAACTGATGCATTAATCTAACGTTTTCTGTCGGAAACAATAATGAAAGGGAAGTCTTTGTTGAGTTTCTCAAAAATTCAGGGGAAGTATTTGTTAAAATGAAATTGCAAGAAAGGCTTTTATGATTGTCAAAAATTTCAGGGAAGGTTTTTATATTTTACCCTTAAAAGAATTAAATAGCTGAAATAAAATCTTTTTGAAAGTTAAATAAAGGAACTCTAACTTAAAGGGTATTTGTACAAAGTAAATTCGCTGAATTGAATTATTGGAATTTCATCAACCGTAAAATATTATATGTGAGTTGTTTAGTGAAATTCAATTCAATCCTGCCTCCTCAGTCTTCAGTCCTCACTGAAGGCTGTGTTTGATATTCTCCCTCTATATAAGTGGGTGGGTTGTGTCTTTGATTCATGAGACTTTCACAGACACAAACACACAACACGCAAAACACTTTTCGAGGTTGCTGGGTTTGGCCGTAGAGCCAAACCTATCCTTGTTCTTCAATATTATTTTTCCGGCAGTGCTCACTTCTGAGCTTTTTATCTGTCTACTTCTCAACTGTTTGTAAAGTTTCTGCATCCGTCGAATTTTCTGGAAATTCCAATAGACTAATAAGTCTCCGCTGAAATCTGTTTCTCTCCAAAAAGAAACAAAGAAATTGGTACGTAGAGATTTCTAGTTTTGTGATTTCATCTCACCTTTTTCCTTCCTGATCCATCTTATATATTCTCAATTTCTCAGAATTTTTCTGCTCTCTATCTATATCTCTAATGGGTATTTGAAGAATTGAGAGCTAAAATTTTCTGTTAGAAGTTCTAATATTGGAAACAGCTAGCTAGCGAAAACGGTTCCCATTTTTTCAGTGGGTTCAGAGCTAGCTTTCTGTTCGTCATGAGTGGGCTTGGTTGCTGGTTGTTCACGTCTGCAAGCTCTGACGCCAAACATCTGGAAACCGACTGATAATATGATAAATAAGAAAAATGAATGATAATATGGAAACTTTTAAACTGGATTGAGAAACATAGCTAAAAGAGTTACAGAAGATATCCACTGAATAGGTTGGTATTCTTTTTAACATTTGTTAATGTCAAAAGTAGCCCAGAAAGAAGAAAAAAAGGTTTTAAATAATTAGTCGTTCATCCAATTATGCACATGATTCAACATGAATAAAGGGGCTAAAATACAAGTAAAACTAAAATAAATTTAAAGAGAATTTTGAAGGCATAGGGGGGGCGTCTCCCCTCCGCCACCCCTGATTGTTTGTGTTGATTACTAGCTTGATTACTTAAATTAAAATTAATGGTTGAAGATTACAGAGAGTAGTTGCATGAACAAGGTGCAATTAGTTATAACTGATGATTAATTGTCTTAACAATGTTTATCTCAGAGAGTTTGTAGGGGTCAAGCTAAGGAAGAGAGAAGCTTGTGAGCTGCAACTAAGTTTCATTCATTCAACCGGTATGTGGAGGCTTAAGATTGCCCAGGGTGGTGATCCCTATCTATACAGCACCAACAACTTCATCGGACGGCAGATTTGGGAGTTTGACAGAGATTACGACACACCGGAAGAACTCGCCGAGGTTGAGAAGGCTCGTGAGGAGTTCAGGAAGAACCGACACCATGCGAAGCCCAGCGGTGATGTCCTACTACGCTTGCAGGTAAGCCATGCATGCAGCATCTACCAAATCTTTTTTTTTCCCTTTTCTCTAATTAAGGCTATGTTTGGTTTAAAAGAAAAAAAGTAGGGAAATGAAGAAAAAAGTAAGAAAACACCTATACAAGTTTTTTTTCCTTTTTTGTCCTACCTTTCTATGTCCTATACAACATTGTGGAGACAAGATCTAATAGGCACAACATAAGTAAGCACGTACTCATTGAATGTGCTTACGATCAACATTCTGAGCATATTTAATGAGCACACTTAGAAAATTATTTGACACATGTCCCTTAATATACACAAATCTTACCCTTGAAAAGATGGAAAACAACTTATGACAGATGTGCTTATTAAGCACTTATTGAATGTGCTTACAACTACATTGTTAACAAAAAACCTAAAGTATTTACTCTATCCTTTGAAAAAAGGGTAAATTGTTGAAACATCCCCTGAAGCTTGGTGATTGCGATCACCATCCTTTAACTTTCAAAAATAGTTACAAGTTAAAATCCTTTAACAAGAGGCATAAAAATGTTCAAAATACCCATTAAATCTATAAACACGGAAGGATTTCATAATTGATATAGAAGAGCATTGACCAATTAAATCGGCATGAATACCACTTAATTGGATACCATTTTTTATGATTGATTGGTTTCAATTGATGATGTGCATCTCATTAATTATAAATTGAATTTGTTTTAATCTCTTAAATTAAATAAGAAATTAGGTTAATTATCTAGTTATTTAAAGAAATACAATAAGAAGGTTGAACAATTGACACATGTTTAACTGTTGAACTTGGACTTTCCCAGCGAGGTAAATCATTTAGACCTATAATTCTAACATTGGGCCTACCACTAAAACAACAAAAGTAGGTTGTCTACATGATTAGCTAGTTGGTTCATTCAACACTTTTCTTTTTTTTTTTTTTTTGGACTTGTGGACGATAAAAGAAGTTAGAGCAAATAAATATGGATTAGGAGGTGGGGCAAAAAGGGACAAAATATATTATGTTCACGATTTTTTAACCGACGTTGATCCAAATAGTCGGAATGTTTGACTTGAAAATCGTTCAGGTTACTGGTTCCATTTTATCCTTAATCCGTATCTTTGCAAAAAAATGTTGATTTGGTCAACAAAAAGTTGACCTAACTAGTAGAACTGTCAATCTGTTCAACCGGGATAATGATTTTTTGGTGATTTTTTTTTATTTTAATTAAATTTTCATTTTTTTCACTTTTAAATTAGAATGAACAATCTATTTAAATCAGACGGTCAAACTGCTGACCCAGAAACCAATTACCAAAATGGTTCTAGTTCTAGATCCATTTTTAAAACATTGATTAAGGAAGATATAAATGGGAGATGCAGAGATTTTTAAGGCTTAGGGGGCCATGGCTCCCCTCAGCACAATGGAACTAGGGATTTTTTTTTTTTCGAGGTTGGGGGGAGTTAAACAAGAAAATGAGATAGGGAGGAGAAATAGGGTTTTGAAAAAAAAAATGGCCTAAGAAGGTTTAGATTTCTTACAGATTTTTAAAGAAAAAATAAATAAGTTTTTCCTTTTAAAATCCTTTACAATTTTAGTTCAATTGTGGAAGAATCCACTTTATTATGTTTCTAATCCAGCCTCCACTAAGTAACCATGGTTTTAACAAAAAGTTTGGAGAGGTGAAGGACCCTCCACCAATATAATTGGCTCCGCCCCTACCTCCACCAACCCGGACTCTGGCCCCTGACTCCACCACCATTCTATAACGGTGACTTTCTCTATTTCAAAGCATTAAATTAGTTTCAAATTTTCTTTTTATCTGAGAAACAAACTAGTGATTAAGGGATGTGAAGCTAAAGTACACTTGAATTAATGGACAAGTCCAAAAACGAAGCTTGTCATGCAAAAAGCTAAGGTTGGACAGATTCACATCATAATATCATATGCTAATTAACCAAGGGGAATATCTTTGCTTACCAGGCAAATACAGTTTCTGAGTTGTTAACACCGTTGAGCTTCTATTTATTATAAAGATATCATCATCATCTAATCTTGTTTGCCGGTGTGCGCTTCATTTACACCATCAGTCCTAAGGTAGATAGAAGAGGGTGGTGGCATCAAGTTGGTAGTCCATATTAAAACCCAGCCTATAGCTGAGGCAAGGCTTAGATGATGATGATAGATAATATTACTTAGGGCTAATCTCATTAAAATCGTCCTAAAAATTTTACTTCACCATATACTTACAAAAATTTAAAATTTCCAACATCCTCTTTCATGATACTATACCCCTTTGTATTGAATCTGGATCAGTTCACACTAAAATATTTTTCCAACTAGTTTCAACATGAAATGTATCCACACATCTTACTATGAGACTGGGACCCACCATGGTAAGATGTGTGAACACAGATCATGTTGAAAAAAAGTATTTTATTGTGAACAAATCCCAAGTCCCTTGTATTGGCATCAACTCCCCCAATGTCATTACGAAGTAAAAGTTTGTAAGGTGGGAATAAATGGAGATTCCCCTATTATTTTTAAAGCAATGGAATACACAAATTTTGTGGGGGCCCTTCAATGGCTGCTGCTTTAATATACAAAATTTACCTAATGATCTAAAAAGGTTATTTACTTGGACAACCTTATAGTTTTACGTATTTAATAAAACCATATTATTACTATAACAACCCTTATAATTCTGAGCTGATTTATTTAATTGTCCTTGTAGCCGTTTGTATTTCTGCCTAGGAATGGTCATATGATCTCTTAAAGGGAGTGGAAAATGTGAAAGGGCGTGAATTCAGGGTTTTTTATTTTGATAATATCCCTAACAGTTTATATATTAACCATTTAAGAAACAAAACCCTGAAATGTACATGCATGATTCGACCATTTCCAGATGAAAAATTAGAAATACGATTTCTAATGAAAGGTCAATCAAATAAAACAGTTGCAAATTATAGGGTGCCTTAATAATATCGAAACTAGAGAGTAGGCTTGTGCAAATACGTGAAACTATAATGTGAACAGCTAAAAATGTTGAGGGGCATTCTACAATACGAGAAATATGATTTCTTGTGTTTTCGTCTGAAGAAACAATTCACGTTGTAAAGCACATCCTTATAAGGCTGTATTTGGAAATGATGCAAATAGAATATAATTCTCAGTTTAGGGTAAATTTGCACTCTTGGTTCACTTTTGCCTGTATTTGGCAATATTACAGTTATGCATTTTTAAATGACGGATTAATGCATATTTACATTGATAATAAGATCAACAAAAGTGCATCAATAAAAAAGAAGTAAATTTGCGTTCAAATGGGCTTTTGATAAAAAAAAGCATATATTTCATTGAAATTTATATTTATATTCATTATAGCTAAAAGTCTATTTGATAAAAAGATAAATTTATCAATGCAAAAGTAACCCAATTTTTCAATTTATATTAACGGTTTTACACTACATATTTACATCGTTTCCAAACACAACCAAAATGATTCTACCACTCACGATGGTTGGATTTTTCTAAGTCAAAAATCATTTAAAAGTCAAAACTCAATCCTTCAATTTTAGTATTGATGCAGCACGATTCAAGCACTCCTAGCTGGCTGCTGACTGGCTCCTTGCTGGCAACGGACAGCACCTAAGAAGACGAAGAAGAAGGATTCCCGGGGATTTGCCCGGTGGGAATACTCCGATGCTTAAGTTAGTACTGTGTATGGGGAGTAAAGAGAGAAAACGAAAGCTAAGAGTGGATGTCGCGTTTTATCATTATATTCGAGAGGTTTTAGGTCTCCAGAGAGAGCTTCTCCTCTGCCCTGAGGGCTTTTATAGGAGCGTTCTTGCGAGATCAGGCATAACCGCCACTGGGCTCCTGTCGCAGTCGTTACCTGCCAGGTCTGCGCAGGTGATCGTTATAGTGTATTATCCGCTTGGCTGAGTGACACATCCCAAAGGGGCAGACACGCCTCCATCTGTCGAGAGACGTGGGTACAGACTGTCGAAAGGACAAGGACTGCACCGCCAGTCGAGAGACGTAGCGCCGTCTGTTCGGTACGGCCTTGTTAGATGGAAGCTTCCTGAGAGTGTCGCATCACTCAGTCGCAAGTTACCTCGTAGCGAGCTATCCTTGCCGCGAGCTACTTTGTAGCAAGTTCTTTGGAGTACTTCGAGGTGACCCTCATCAATGTTAGTCTTTGGGACAGTTCTTCTACCCAGGTGCTAGAGCGAGCTGGTCTCCCTAGCTCGCAGGCTGAAATAGCCTTGGAGTATTTCCTTATTGGTAGCTTGGGGAACCTGGAGCTCGCGTTGTAGCGAGTCTCTCCTTTCCTCGCTACCGCGTAACGGGCTGCTTTATGAGCCTATCACTTAACCATATCGGAACACAATGTTGAACTGTCACTTACACTGAGTCAGCGTCCACATATTGCCGTTTCATACTTGGGGTCAAATCATCCTTGATCAAGTATAAAATTGGATTTTTCAATCTTGTTTGCTTAGTATTGCGTAGACGAGCCGAACCGGCACGGGCGTTGTGATATGACTGCTATTGACTTGTGCTTGGTAGGCAAGTCGCTATTCTTTGCGAGTGCTTTTTCAATGAGGCTTATTTGTATTTTTTATATGGGAAAGGACTTTTCCACGACTTTTTCACTTATTTCCCCAGGAACCAAAAATTGCTAATATTATCTTAGATCCTTGATAATTTGATCAGACGGTGGAGATTTCACTATGTTTCTTTATTGTTGGTGAAGTGGTACTGTACTGATCCACGTGCTTAATTATTTTATTTGTACAGCTCTTGAAGGAGAATAGCTTTGTTCAGACTATACCCCCAGTAACGATAGGAGACAATGAGGAGATATCCTACGAGGCTGCCACTGCTGCACTTAGGAGAGCCGTCCGATTCCACTCCGCAATACAAGCAAGCGACGGCCATTGGCCGGCGGAGAACGCGGGCCCACTATATTTTCTTCCTCCATTGGTAAGTTTGAACCAATTAAGATTCTAACCGATAAAAGGAGTGTATTTCATATACAGTACATAAAATAATTTTGTTTAAAAGCACTTGCTTTATCAACACATATAAACAGTTTACAACAGTGTTTTTAAACTGTAGTTAACCCGGACAGTAGACCGTTGGGTCAGAAAACAGTTTAGGCAACTGGTACCGTTTTATCATTAACCCGGTTCCAACCAGAAGTTGATTTGGCCAGTGATCCATTGACTTGGGCGGTGAACCGTTGATCCATTTGATTCAAATAATAGTTTTTAACTGTTTTTTTTATTTTTTATTTTAAATTGAAATGGAACATTCATTCAAACGGGACAGTCAAAACGTTGACTTAAAAACCAATGGTCAAAGTGATTCCAATTTTGAATCCATTTTTAAGACCTTGGTTTACAATACATTTACTGTCATTTTTATTAAAAAAAAATGTCAGAAAGACTTTTACCAAATTTTGCTTGAAAACCCACCTGATCGGTTACCATGATTTAAGTTGGATTGATTTTAAGTTTTTCGGTACGTATCATGTCTTTCAGAGATCATAATCGTGTGCTCCTTTTTATACTAGATTACATTATAAAAAATGATGTTCCAAGTTGTTATTACCATAGATAATTATAAATGTTAAGTATAATAATTAGTTCGGTTTTAGGTTTATTTTATAGAACCGATTACTAATCAGCTTGAAGATTTCTTTTTTTTTTTTTTTTTTTGATATTTTTTGAAGCTTGAAGATTGAAATAGCCAAATGGGGTGATGAATATTAATGATTAAAACTTAAGAAATATAACGTAATTAACTACTGCAGGTGATGTGTTTATACATTACTGGACATCTTAACACAGTCTTTCCAGCAGAACATCGCAAAGAGATTCTTCGATACATATACAATCACCAGGTAATTAAGGACATGACCATTCAATCTCCTGAGCATTATTCAAATCAGAACTTCGGAAGTTTGAAACTGATGATCAAATAATAAATATGGCAGAATGAGGATGGAGGTTGGGGACTACACATAGAGGGCCACAGTATCATGTTCTGTACTGCACTGAGCTACATCTGTATGAGGATTCTGGGAGAAGGGCCTGAGGGTGGCCGAGATGGGGCTGTTCCTAGAGCTCGCAAATGGATTCTTGACCATGGCGGAGTTACAGCCATGCCCTCTTGGGGAAAGACTTGGCTTTCGGTAGGACCTACCATTTTAAGAATTAATAGTACATTTGATCTCTCTACATTGCTTAATTATGGGCTGTTTTAGCATGCCTTTTTGGGAAGATCATCTGAGAGTTTTGATATTCAAAAGATGCATTGAGCTTTTGCATAAAGTTCTGAGTAGTCCAAAGCACGTTTGGCAAATACACATCTTTTCACGTCTTTCCACGTGAGATTAAAACGCGAAAGATGCGAAAGACACGAAAAGCTTCATTTTAAGCTTCCTGAAATCAGCCCAAAATGAGCGTCTCGCGTCTTTTCAGTTCTCCGTCTTTTGGTGGTTAGATCTTTCGCAAGCCAAACAAGAATAGATCGAAAATCGATCTTCCCAACTTGTAAACAGCCGAAAGATTGCACAGAAAGGCACGCCAAACGGGCCCTATGGTGTTTTCAAATATATATATCAAAGTGATCTAGCTCGTTCAATTCATTATCCTTGTGATATGCATTCATGTAGATACTTGGAGTCTATGAATGGGAAGGCAGCAACCCAATGCCTCCAGAGTTTTGGATTCTTCCATCCTTTCTTCCCATGCATCCAGGTTTGCACTACCACTATCAATACTTTCCTCTTTGTTTGCGGTGTAAATTTTATTTAATCAGGTGGTACTCGTCAAAATTCATGAGATTGCTTTGATTGGTCAAAGTTCTTTCGATACTATGTCATGCAGTATGGTAGGTTTTCCCTACGACATACGATGTAATCCCCACCTTATATCAACAAGAACAGGGGTTGGAGGGTTATTTCTTTGGGAATGAGGTAGGAAGAAAGACGATGAGGTTCCCACTTTATATGAAAGAGGATTAATGAGGTAGGAGGGCATCAGTTTTTGGGATGCAAAATTTACCTTGCTAGTGAATGCAAATGAGATGATGCAAAGTGTAAAGCACAGCAAACAAGTGGGCCCCATACAAGAAGAGCAAAATAACTATTCAAACAAAAGCAAACAAAGACTATAATTACTTCACAAACAATATACTACAAGGCAAAACACACATCATAGGAACTAACAATAGACTAGAGCCCCTATTTATGGTTGAGTTTAACCACTTATAAGGGGCAGTTTACAAAACTTATGATGTTCAAATGGAGCCCAGATTTCTCATTCATTTTTCCTACCCGTTGTGGATTTTAGCCACACATCTCTCAATTCATAATAGAGATGGCTCCAATTCACGACGGGTAGAGAGTGGGTAGAAAATCCCGAGTGATTCAAATGGACCACGTGGGCCCTCTTATAACCACAAGCGAAATCAGTGTTAAAGTCGGTATAGGATGGTTGCTTGGGAAGTTGGTTAGCTAGAGAAGTCAGTGATGACTTCTATCACAAAGTTTGTATATTAGGTAAGAATGCAAATCATAGTTACAAAAGGATGTAAAACTGAAACAGCTGCAGAATTTATATCTGGTTCAGATTTGCACGGCAAACAAACGGGGCCTTTTTATTTTGATTAGAAATGCTGTATTTTCCTCTCTCTCTCTCTCTTAACATGTTGTTGGGTATTTATATGCAAATTGAATGCAGCAAAGATGTGGTGCTACTGTCGCATGGTTTATATGCCAATGTCCTATTTATATGGAAAGAGGTTTGTGGGTCCCATCACTCCTCTCATTCTACAATTGAGGGAAGAGCTTCACACTCAACCCTACCATGAAATAAAATGGAGCAAGACCCGCCACATATGTGCCAAGGTTGGTTCTATTTGATTGTTTCTCTTATTAATATTATATATCCTTCATCAATATGTCAATTAACATGTTTATGTTACATTAATTAAACTTATCAACTTGTTATTACAGGAGGATCTCTACTACCCTCATCCCTTCATACAAGATTTGCTGTGGGATAGTCTTTACATTCTTACTGAGCCTCTTCTCACGCGTTGGCCCTTTAACAAATTGATCAGAGAGAGGGCGCTGAAGACAACAATGGAGAACATCCACTATGAAGATGAGAACAGTCGATACATTACCATTGGTTGTGTAGAGAAGGTACAGACCTTATAATAAATGTTGCATATATCTGAAATCTGTTCAATCTTTCTGGTATTTAATAGTATTTACTAATTTGAATTGGAGTAGGTGTTATGCATGCTTGCTTGTTGGGTGGAAGATCCTAATGGAGATGCTTTCAAGCACCATCTTGCCAGGATCCCAGATTACATATGGGTTGCTGAAGATGGAATGAAAATGCAGGTATGCACACATCAGGCTTAATTGAGCCTCAGTTCTTTTTCAGTTTAAAGATGGGCAAACTCCTTAGTTATCAAACAATTTAGATCTGATTCTAGTAATCCAAATCTGTTAGAAATGTG